GAGTAGGTGCGGACTAATGTGTGTCTCTCTCTCTCTCGCTCTCTCTCTCTCTGTCTTTCTCTGCGTGAGGTTTATTTTGGAGCTCTGTTCAGGAGTGAAGACAGACAGCCCCCCCTTCTTGTCGAGCTCTTAAGTGCACTGTTTATTAGTGCTGCTGTATTGGAAAATAATAATAACCCACATACAGGGTTCATACTTTTCTGCTCTACAATGTTGTGTCAAGATATTACTAATTACATTACATAGTTGTTGTTGTTTTTTTATGAAACATATTTTGTTACCTTTTCTCACCTTTGGCTGAATGAGATTTTCTCTCTTTCTAAGTTGAAGCGCTGTGATTGGCTTAGAGGCATTTTTTGTTTATCCTATAGACATTGTTTGCGTGTAATAAAATATGGGGTATAGTAAAAGTTTATTAGCTTAAGGACAGAAAATTCATAGCTTCTCTGACGCAACTCCCACATTCTGTTAATGTAGACAACACAAATAACACATTCAGGTTTATTTGTATTTGCAAGTATTTTGAAACATTTACCATGACTCTGTATCACTGATATACGTATGATTGTCACTTTGTGAACTTTAAATACGAGGAATGAAGAGGGTTACAATTGTGTTTGTCAGTATATTATATTATAATAATAGCTCTATTTGTAAAGAATTAATCATTGTAGAATGACAAGACAAGAACGGTTTGACCACCCCAATCAGTCATATATAATGGAGGTTTATGGGGTCCACCCTGGGTCCACCTCATAGAGCATGCACAGAGAAGTCCAAATTAAACATGATTTAATGACTCATAAATGTAAGTACACATTGATGGCCTAAGACACGGAACGAGTGGTTTGTGTGAGAAAACGAACAGTGTTTATATCTTGTTTACCTCTTGAAACCACAGCCATGTCCAAGTAATCTGAAGGCACGGGCGCTTCGGTCTGCGCAAGCGCTGGAAGTGATCTCTTGCGCGGTTGCAAAAAAAAACAACGTTGTCTGTTGATATATCGAAATCGTCTGCCATTGCAATTTCCTGTATATCTAAATATTTTTAGATCTTCACAGTAAAGGATAACACTTCTGAAATTTCTGTGTAAACAACGAGTGACGTACGTGAGAGCTCACTTCCGGGGCGTGGCTGTGGTTACAAGAGGTAAAACGATATAAATACTGTTCGTTTTCTCACACAAACCGCTTGTTCCGTGTCTTAGGCCATCAATGTGTACTTACATTTACGAGTCATTAAATCATGTTTAATTTGGACTTCTCTGTGCATGCTCTTTGAGGTGAACCCCATATACCTCCATTATATGACTGACAGACAAGAACGGTTTGACCTAAAAATATCAAAATTGAAAATACTGTAGAAACAAAGACACCTACAGTAAATCTTTGATGCCCTTGAGGTAAGCTAAAAAATATAAAAAAATTATTTCTAAGTGAACTATCCCTTTAAAAACATCCAAGCTTACCGCTTTGAATCGAGCTAAGGCAAGCAGATAGCTTTGAATACTTACTGGTTACGTACTTGCTCAATTTTGGATAATTATTTTACCCAAAAAACTTACTGACTGGAGCTTTACTGACAGGACTTAAAAACATGTGCAAGTGATAAGCTGATGGTTAATCTTTTCCGAATTGGAACCGATCAACTACGATCCATATTTGGCATCCCACATCCTTCGTGCGATGTGACTCGCAGATGCTCACATCGCCATATCGATGCTGTTGAGCCCTATTTTATACAGTGACAGTATATTATAGTAGGATAATAAATTGCATTTATTGAATAAAAACATTGCAATGTATTTATTTAAATTAATTTTAAATAAATAACAGAATTACCCAAACAACACCCCTCTCTCATTCTTCTCTGTTTTCCAGGTAGTTTCTATTGATTTTTTTAAGCATTTAATGAAGGCATCACAACCAGGAAGCAGTGAAAATAAAGTTTTTTTTGACGTGTTGTTCTGTGACAGCACAGTGTGAAAGATGTTGTGCAAAAAAGGTGGAAAATAAGGTGTTTTATAAGATGCTTGTGTTCACGTGAAGACATAAGAGAGAGAGAAAGAGAGATAGAATTTAAAATGTTTCATGTGAAATGGCTGGGTAAAGGTGCTTCAGGAATGTTTTTTGTCATGCATAAATAATGAGTCAAATTTTAATTTAAATCAGAATGCAAAGATATCAATAATTTTACAAAACATGCCTTTAGCCGTATATACTTTATTAAACTCTACTTGAATTATTCCATTACTGGTATTATATAAATGCTTTTATTTTTTTCAAAGTGAATAATACATTTCAAACGGTTATTTTCATGATCTCTCTCAAACATACACTATTCTCGTCTTTTTGTTTTGTATTTTTGTTTTCCAGCCTTAAACTCAGGATTATGTTAGCTAATGCACCCCCCCGCCCCCCATTTGTTCTTGTCAGATTCTGATTTCAAGGTGAATCTAGTCATTTCTGCAACATTAACAACCACAACTATTCACAAAGTCAAGCTTCAAATGGTTTACTTAAATTTCTCTGCACACCAAAGCTATTTTTTTTTAAAGCTAAGTCTCTTTTGGTCCCCTTCACGTGTTAATTTTGGACCCCTAGTAACCTCCACTGTCTCAATTACAGTTCAAAGATGCATAAATCCAGCCTAAGGCACTCTTATAGACTGGATTAAAGAACGTCTGATTGTGAGATTGTTCTGAACTCTAAGCTCTGCTCATATAAAATCTCCACTTTTCATTTTCTGAGATTTATCATTTGCTCAGAGACCACTTAAATTACTTTATATGTGTGCGGAACAGCTTGTTTGGACCATTGCACCTCAGAGAATAAGGCATTCATGCTCATCGATCGTGTATTGTTACTTTTGAGTTTAAAAGGCAGGTTTTCTGGAAAGATTTTCCAAAAGGAAAATTAAATAATTATACCAAGGGATAGTAAGAATCGAAAGAGCCAAAAATCTTAGACCAAGCTTTTTCTTTCTACATTTCTCTCTCTGTGTGTGTGTGTCTCTGCTTGAGTGAAGGTACATTTCAGTCAGCCTGATCTCCTCTCACTCACAGCACAATGAGAGCTGTGCCCATAATGGCTGCTGGAATATCAAGCTACGGGGGGAAATGAGAAAGCAGCATCTTATGGGCTCATTCATCAAGAACTAATTGAGGCCTGGGTACACTCAAGTGCTGATAAAAATGGATGAGTGTGTGTGTGTGTATGTGAGTGTGTTTTCTTTTGTGTTGTCAGCTGGTATGCGAGTGTGCGCATTGCCAGTGAAGAGCAGAGGAATTCTGCTCCACAAGAGATGTTTTCCTGGTGGAAGTGACTGCGTGTGTGGCGAGCAGAGGACCAATGAGGTTGTTGGGGGGTGCGTGGGTAGCTCTGCATACTAAACGGGTCGGGGGCTACGGAGGGAGCAAGGGAGGGGTGGGGGGCAGCATTAGACCTGCTTCACTGGACCTCTCATCTGGGGCTGGAGCTATTGTGCTACACTCCACTTCGCTGTATTGATTCCACCAGGCGGGAATTCGGCGCCTCTCTCTTTTTCTCTGTCTTCCCTCCCTGTTCCCTCCTTTTCACACTCTCATTTGCTCTCTGCCACCTTTTCCTTTTTCCTTTTCCCTTTCTATTTACCTGTTCCGCTCTCTTTCTGCACCAGTCGGACTATTTTTTTTCCCTCCTCCAGGGCCGTTTGACAGCAAGTCTTTGGAGCCTGAAGGATCATGTACACACACATCACCTTTAGCCACCTTTCAGTCGATGCTTATTGATTTTGATATCACAATGAAATATATTATTTTCCCTGCGCTGGCACTCTTGATCCTTTCTTCCTCCATCCCTCTCTTTTCAGTCTAATGTAATCAAGAGCCAAAATTGTTCCACATTTTTCCGACTCAATCAAATTTACCTGCCTCTCGAGTATATGCGGTATGTACGTGTGAAGTGAGGCGACGCGTCAGCTGCAGGTGTGTGTGCATGTGCTAATGTGTAAAAAAATATTTGTGAAAAATTATCTAAAAATGTTACCATTAAAACATGTCAATTGGTTTACTGCCACCATATATGGTGAAAAATATATTACAAATGATTTAAATCATGATTTTTTTTGGAAGTTTAGTGTGAATGGTGGATATCTATCTAATCCATCTCAAGCTGTATGTTAATAACTGATACATATAATCGTGCAAGTGGTTTTGCATGCGCATGGCTGGACACACTTGTTTCTCTCAGGTGTGTGTGCGAATATCTCTGTTGTCTGTTGAGAAGGTGTGCGTGCATGCTAATGTTTTTCTGTAGGTTTGTGTCTGCTTGTGAAGTGAAGTGATTGCTTGTGTATGAACAGCTTCAGTTTTTCCATCACTGGGTCTATTATGTCTTGATTTTGATATTGATCTGATTTGAAATGATGTCAATACGATATTGACTTAGTTCTTTTTCTTTTTCGGAAGAGGTGAGTGTATTCATACATATGAATAAGCCTGTAATTTAATAAGGTTTTGCCAATTGTGTCATTTCAAGTTAAAAATGAAAAGGCTAAGCAAACAATCCTTACTTTAATAACTAGTGACGCTCATTATTGTTGCAATTGTGTATTGTTACACATCATAATTTTATGCACAAGGGATAGATTAATGAACAGATTAATCAGCTAATGGTTAGAGAGAGAGTGAGGCATTTAATTGTCCCAATGTCTGTGGTAGAGGAGATCACACAAACATAATTGTGTGTAATGGAATTTATAGTTTTAGCAAAAACTCTTGCAAAATGATCCTTCTGTTGATTATAGTTTCTAGTTTGGAACACCATTTACATTATACTCATCAACAAGTGATGTAGCCTATGCTTATGTTAATATACTATTTCTTTAATAGCAAATATATATTTACAGTATGTGAGTACAATAAGCATAATATATGCAGCTTTGGTTTATTGTTTATTCTTTTTTTTTAATTGGTAAAAAATCTCTCTTTATTTATTTAATAATTGTTTGTTTGTTTTTACTAACACCCCTGAGCATTGCTTTGCTCAGTTTTTATGTGACCAGTTTTTGATGAGTTGTGTAATCTGTAATTATTCTGTTAATTTCCAGTTTGACCCATTCAGGACGATTTGTGGATGGTTGCATACAACTCATTGATAGTCTCTAGGAGGCCCCTTGTCATGTGACTTCGCCTGTACATTGAGCTTAAGGTAAGCTGTCTCATTCTGAAACTTTATCCACTGTCGCTTTAGAATGTGTATACATGCATACACTAACATTATATGTATATATATATATATATATATATATATTTCCAAGGGGGGAGTGGAGTCTTTTCCCCTCAGAGAGAACACCCCTGACACACACACACACACACACACACGCATACTTGCATTGATTTGGCAACCTGCTGTCAGTGCTTGCTTGTACCGTATCTCTTAGCTACAAATCATGATTCAGAACAGGGTCGGTAAACACAAAGACACCCAGCGCAGAGACTCAGTGGTGTCAGTGTGAGGTGTGTCGTCTTAAGCTAACCTCCGCCCTTCAGGATATGACACTGGAAGACAAAGTGGGATTATATTTTCTTTCTGATCTTCTGTTGCAAAGCCTGAACAAAATAGCAGCTAAAGATAAATAGTAGAATGTTAGATGCACATTTCAATTTGAACGTTTTCATTTGCACGTTGGACGTAATAGTGACACATGTAACTGAATGGAAATGGGCTGTAAAGAATCAGATAAGCGTACTGTATATTATAATGTGTTCCACAGAATTTTACAATTGATGATGTATTGATTTCATGATTTTGCTAAATTTGTCACTGGTCAGTCTTATACATTTTTAGGTAACTATTTGTTGTTATACAATTGCTTAATCTAAAACTTAATCTTATTTATATTTATAATAATAAGAATGTTACTTGCAACAATCAGCCTAATGATATCTGAATTATCATGTGACACTGCAAGATTGGAGTTATGGCTGCTGAAAATGTAGCTTTGCCATCACATAAATAATTCATTATTGTAAAATATTGAAATAGGAAATGGTTATGTTGAATTATAATAATATATCCATAATTTTACTGTATTTTTTTAATCAAATAAATAAAGTCTAGGTGAGTATAAGAGACTTTGAAAATCATTAAAAAAGTATTTCTAGCACAAAACCTTTGAACAGTACTGTATTTCCTGATATACTGTACGTTTATCTCTCTTAATTTTTTTAATGAGGCCAATGTGGTTTAAAAATAGGTTATTTTATTGTTTTATTCATTATTTTCTTTGGACAAAACAAAAGTCTTCTTTTTTTGTATAAAGTAATTTTGTCTTTTTCAGGGCAGTGGATATTTTTACTAGAAAAGAAGGCAAAAATACTAATTACTGTAATAAATGATTAGAGCATCTGGACGACATCACTGAAGTGTGATTGTGTATGTTCACATGCGCTTTCACAGCTCATTGGCTGTGTTGTGTTTTGGTCAAAATGACACTCGCCGGCCACGTAAAAATTCTTGTGACGGAGGTGAGTGTTCGGAGTCAGCATTTTTCCCCCTTCTCTGTTCTCTCTTCCCCCACCCTCCCGCTGTTTAATCCATCCAGCTGCTGTCACGGCAGGGGAGCAGCCAATCTATCACGCCATCGAGACACATTCTTCTCACCTGCTCTGTGCCGGCACCGTGCCGTACCGGCCCTTTAATGAACAGCCAACATGATCCCGGCTGACAAGCAGGAAATGGATGCAATAAAGATTGTTTCTGCATGCTCTTTGCATTCCTGATAAATCACCTTACTGTTCGACAGACACCAGCCAGCGCCGCACACAAATCTGATTTCACGCAGAGAGAGACACTGAAGGAAGGGGCATCGGGCCAGGAGGGGTCAGTTCAATTTAAATGCAGGCTGGCTCGGACACGGAGCCCATGCGACTGTTGATGTGTGTGTGTGGCGGGAAGCCCTGTGTGATGGACCCGTGACATACCTCGCACTTCACCTCATTTCTTTGGATGCTGTGGGCAGCTACTACGCACACACACACACACCCACACCCACAGCTTCAAGTCCAGGAGAGGGGTTTATTCAGTCAAGCAGACCTGCTCTGCCCACTAGAAAGCTTTACTCTCTGCAGTTCTGCGGATGATATGGGAACACGCCGGCCCTGCAACCTTGGCCACTGCACTGTAATGAAAGATGAAAGCAGACTAGGGGCACATAGGGCGGAGGGAAGAACAGGGAGGGGGGCGTAAGGTGTGGGGATGGAGTGAGAGATGAGGAAGAGATGCAGATCTCTGGGCGGGTAATTTATGATCTAATCTTATGCAGCCCGTGCCTGCTGTAAGTCACACTAGGGAGGAAGAAAGAGAGAGAGAGAGAACAGTGTCTAAAGAAGTAAGGTTGTAAAGTCTCTGAATCTTGAAACTGAGAGGTTTAAATGGAGACTGGAGCCTAAGAATGAGTCATTAACTCTTTTAAATGAAGCAGACAGAGCCATTTAGATTAGGTGCTATCAAATATATATATTTGTGTATATTTAGTTCCTAACTTACTTGCCTTATTGGTACCCTATTTACTTTCTTAATGCATGTTCTGTGTATCAGAATGTAGCTACTAACTTTCGCCGCATTTGAAATGAATTTCCTTTTCAGCAGGCATCATCAAGCCCTCTCATTTTTTGACCACTCCCCTCCGACTAAACTTTTCATGATCATATCACTTTCTTAATGGATTTGAATCATATATGTATATATACTGAATATACATATCTCACATAGAAGTAAAATGGGATATGAAAAAAAATATTTATAAAAAATTAATAATTATATATATATATATATATATATATAATTCAGATATTAAGATATATTTTATTTTCCAAACTTCTCTAATTTCATTAACAAATAAATTGCAAATTTACTTTTCTACTCTTTTTGAACACGCACCTTTTTTTCGAATGTTTTTTTAAATAACCTTCGTAATTTTTCTTCAATTTAATTTGTAACTTTTAAAAAAAGTTTGTAATCGTCTGTTCTGTTCCCAAAAATTTCATAAAAATGATTAAAAAAAAAGAGAAATACTAGAAATAAAAACATCTTTTTTTGTAATCTTACATCTATCCATTCATTTTAAAATCTTGTTTATCTAAAATGTTTTTGTAATCTTCCTTTAAAAAAAAGGGAATACACACACTTGCCATATAAAGATGCTTTATGAATTCATGATCCAATCAATTCATAGAATATTAAATCAGGGTTTGCCCTATAGTTTTTCCCCCCTCATTGAAGATCCTGTCAGGAATACACGAAAGTACAGTAAAATGGCTTGTGACCGCCGTTTCATCTTGACAAAAGGATTAAAGAACCGCCCTTGGAGGACTGCATTTTTAAAAAAAATTTTATGTCACCTCAGTGCCACAGTACGCCTCCATCTCCACTGTTTACATAGCGCGCCAAATGCAGTTTTCTTTATGATTGTTTGTCATATGGAGAAAGGAAAAAGAGACACACAGTGTTCTTTGTCTTCCTCAGAGTGCTGTTCTCTTGAGGAGCATTCAAGGAAATTGATATTGGCAGCACTGCAGTGTGTGTAACAGCAGCCATATCGACTGTGTGTGAGTGTGTGTCAGTGACTGGCAAGGTGGCGTGGGAGTCATTGCCACACTCTAGGGGCCTGGAGCTCATTTGAATGCATCCCGACACTATGACACCCCCCTTCACTGCTCACACGCAGTACTCCCTCTACCTGTTTGGGCTGCAATCATTTGCATGAAATAAGATGGAAATGGAGCCCTTATTTATTTCAGCAGAAATGAACTGTATTATTAAGGGCACCATTGTGCAAAGCACCGGCCGCTATGATAATACATTACCCAGGCTATTTCTGGAGCGCGCCAGTCACACATACTAGCTAATTTACTCCATTCTCTACTCATATCGCTGCTTTGAGGGGCTGCCGCTTGGGTGGATTCATTGGTGTGTGTATATGGGTGGTTGTAGTGTTGAAACAATTCTTGCTTGTGTGTGTGTGGGCAGCGCCGACATGTATGAGTGTGTGAATTATGCATTTCTGCTGTGTGTTTGAACTGAAATCATCGCTAATTCAGTGACATCACCCTTTTTTATCAGCCAATAGGGTTTTTCTTTTCACCTCTGTGGCCTGTGAACAGGAAGAGCACACAATCACCATTTCCTGTTGCTCCTTCTCTTCATTAATGCTGAATGTTTTCTCCACTGCAGGAATGCTTTCAATATTACACTGGCTGGACCCTGAATCTTGGTGGATGTCTCTCAACCCATGATCTGATATAGAACTGGCTTCCTTTACCTCTGATGTGCAGGTATGCAGTCCATCACTAAATAAGTTTCCATACACGTTGTTTATTTGTATGCTTTCCATTTCAATCCAGCATTTTTTTTAAAATAATAATAATAATAAAATAATATATTTTATTTGTAAAGCACTTTTCATAGTTAAAAACAATCCCAAAGTGCTACAGAGTATAAACAAAAATACATGGATGGAAACCCAGCCTTTGATTTTATTTATTTATTTATTTATTTATTTATTTTTTTATCTATTTTTTAGACCAAGGGTTGCGATTTATGTGACACAAGGGGCAACAGTTGGCATGCAAGCTATTAAAGAGAGATTCATTTTAAATGCATTTTATTTTATTTAGTTAAATTTAGACATGTTGATTTCCTCATATTTACGTGTCAATTTGGCACAATAACGAACAAAAAAAAAATACACAATGTCAGGTGTGTCTCCTGGGTTGCTGACTCCTGGTGTTAACAAAAAGGGTTTACAGTATTTCATTTTAAGAGATATTTCACCCAAATGTATAAATTCTCTCATTATTTACTCTTCCTTAAGTTGTTACAAACCTGTATGACTAAGTAGTGGGAAAAAACAACAACAACCATATTTTCTCAGTGTTGTTTTTGTGTGTGTGTCTCTATACCTACTAATGAAAGTCAATGATAACCAAAATGATTTAGCTACCAGCATTCTTCAAAATATCATCTTTTGTGTTCCACAGAAGAAAGAAAGCCACTATGAGTAAATGATGACATAACTATCACTTTAACATCCTGTTCCGTGACGAATATCAGTTCTCAAGGAAGTGATATAATTACCCATGAAAGCAGATATGTTAATAAGGTAGCTAGCTATAAACATGCGGACAGTATATCTAGATTTGACTTACTCTGCAAGATTATCTTTAAACTGCTGCTTCCCATGTCAGTGAAGTGAAAGAGAAAAGTGACCATAGAAGAATAGCTGCAGCGTTGAGAATATGGTGCATACTTGGTTGCGTTCTAACACACCCGCTGTGTATGTATGCACACACACTGATTTATGGCTGTTCATTCCTTTAAAGCCTTTCAAATGGAGTTTATTAGCATCTGAACAACATTTTAGAGCATATGAAATCTGTCCTTGTTGAAGGGTTGGCACTTTTCAATCTGGATCTGGAAAAATAGTCTTATTAGAGGCCTATTAAGCTGAGAACTCGCATACACATTCACAAAGAGTTTGAAAAACATTACTTGATATTTTCCAAGTGAAACATAAGACATCTGTGATGTGATGTACTAATCTCTGGCTGACAGAAACAGCATCAACTTTTAAAGACATAATCTGCTCTTATACAGCTGTTGGGCTTGTCTCATTTGATGTTCTTATTTGGTAAATTCTCTCTCCCGCCTCCCTCATCTGTGTGTCACATTTGTGCACATTAGTTCAATGTATATGTTAGTGTTTGTAAATGTGTGTGCATGCGTGCATGTGGTTGCATTCAACTTTTGCCATGTGTTTTGGAATAGAAAAAAAATCTTTGCTCATGAACGACACTTTCACTGTATTGATATTTTTGGGGCTCTTTCAGCCTCTCTGCAAAATTCAGCCAATTTCAAGTTATTACCATTGATCAGAGGCAATGGCAGATCTCAATGTGAAGACCATTGGATTATATGACACACAGCTAAACACCAAAGTCTTGAGAATTTTAAATGCAGTATCTAGCTTGTAATTACTGTAATAGCCTAAAGCCTATACTAATGTACTAAGGTTTTTAATTGTGGGTGGACTGTTTACATGTAGTACATATTGTTGTAAAAGGGTGCTTTGTCAATGCTTTCTTATGTATTTTCTGCAATCATTACTAATTTACTCGTTTGTAATTTTGATGATGCTGCTTTTTGAATGCACTTACTACCAGGTTTGAATCTACAGTCTGTCAGAAACTTCTAGATCTGATCCACTATGCTAGCCACACAACCCATTTAGATGCAATTAATTAGGGCTGTTGAAATTAACGCGTGCAATTAATTGTATATGTTTAACAGAACATTATTTATTATTATAATGTCATCGAACCTCAACAAACATGACAACACCCACAAAATAAAAAAACCTTTTTGTTATTTATTTATTTACTATGATTATATATGAAATTATGGCAGATTTGCATTTAATTCAGAGCGTTTCCTATGCATTAAACAATTTGTTTAAAATTGGAATTTTAAAAGTGCATTAACTTGTTAACAGTAATTTAAAATGTAAGTTGTGATTAATTTTATTATTTATTTATTTAATTGATTAAAAATTACTTAAATAAATACCTTATAAATATGTGTTTGTGATAAGGAACACCATACTAATACTGTGTTTGACCCCCTTTCGCCTTCGGAACTGCCTTAATTCTATGTGGCATTGATTCAACAAGGTGCTGAAAGCATTCTTTAGAAATGGACATGGTCAGAAACAATGCTCAATTAGGCTTTGGCAATTAAACGATGCCCAATTGGCTCTAAGGGGCCTAAAGTGTTCCAATAAAACATCCCCCACCCCATTACACCACAACCACCAGCCTGCACAGTGGTAACAAGGCATGATGGATCCATGTTCTCATTCTGTTTACGCCAAATTCTGACTCTACCATCTGAATGTCTCAACAGAAATCGAGACTTATCTTCAACTGTCCAATTTTGGTGAGCTTTTGCAAATTTTAGCCTCCTTTTTTCCTATTTGTAGTGGAGATGAGTGGTACCCGGTGGGGTCTTCTGCTGTTGTGTTGTGGCTTCACATATGCTTTGCTGCATACTTCGGTTGTAACGAGTGGTTATTTCAGTCAAAGTCGCTCTTCTATTAGCTTGAATCAGTCGGCTCATTCTCCTCTGACCTGGATGTTTTTCCCTTTTCACACCATTCTTTGTAAACCCCAGAAATTGTTGTGTGTGAAAATCCCAGTAACTGAGCAGATTGTGAAATACTTAGACTGGCCCGTCTGGCACCAACAACCATGCCACGCTCAAAATTGCTTAAATCGAATCTCGAATTTAGTGATCTTAAAGAACGCGATGGATTGTAGGGAGATAGAAGGTCCATTAAATACACAGGAGCTTGACCATTTAGGGCTGGACCAATAAGTAATACACTATATTAATTCATATACTTATTGAATATTTTACTATACACCCCTAATATATAATATATTTGTGCATACTGTATATAGATGTATAGTGTACATATCAAATGAATGCACACTCAGAGGCATTAATTTGATAAGTGTTTGGCCATGTTTATCAATAATGCCATAAGTAATGTTCTTATATCAATGTGCATGCATAGTCGTTGCTTTATACATCAGCGTAGTGATGGATCATGCCAGATCTGTGTTTACCTAGTTGGTGATTTGGGTGTGCTCGTGGCAGAGGCGTGGAGCAGGCCAGGATGGATGAGGTTTCCAGGGTTGAGTGAGTGCTCTCCATCATGCCCCTAGCTGCAGCTCATCGCCTCCCAGAGGCCGACACTAGTGCTGCTGATGCATTTCTTAATTATTATAGCACAATACGTCACTTAGCGGGTTGTGGTACTCATGTTCGCTTAGTTTGCCGTTAAAGCATGCTCAAGAATTTAATAATTGTGACTTTAATTGTCAGCAATTGTGAAAGTGTGATTGTACTGTTTGACATTAATAGGTGCAAAGTTCAAGAAAACAATACAAAGATACAAAGTTCATGCAGGCTGTGCTCTATAGTATAGATTATTCATTTTGTGAGTTTAGCAACGGCCCTGCTTTCAGCTATTAGAGTGTGATTGTATCGTAGTGTGTAATGTGTTATAGAAAGAGCTTGAGAGAGATTTGATGTGTGTGTGTGTGTGTGTGTGTGGTTTTTGTATGTGTGTGGCGGTAAGGGACAGGAGGGGCAGAGCAGAAATCAAATCACTTAATTGCTGCATTTTTCATCTCCATCTTTTGTTTTATGGCAGAGCGGGGCTCTAGAGTAGCCGCATGTGATTCATGGTTGTCAGGCAAGCAGTGAGCAGTGCTATCCCTCACCAGGCAGCGCCGGCCCTGCACCACACCAGCGCTATTACCCAGATGAATATGACTGCTCTGCTTCATACTCCCCAAAGCCCACACACCCAAAGAGCTAATGCTAACGCTGAGCACAGCTACTGGGACAACAAACTGTGTGTGACAGAGGACTGAACAGAAAGACAGAGAAATAAAAAATGTGGGGATGGCAGAAAGGCTAATTAAGACATTTCATGACAAGATTTGATGCGTGTACAAATAGGATAATTCCTTTTTAGGATGTATCGTTTCTTTTTGAGGATTTATTAAGCATGACCTGGGTTCAAATCCAGACCTATGTAGTTTTTCTAGTAAACAAAGTGAAATTGTTGCCAATAATCCTCTAACGTTTTTTTATTGTAAAAAAAAGTAGGTTTTATATTTTATTTTTATTTTGTAGTTTGTGAGCCATAGATGACAGAATTATAAATCTTTGTCCTCCATTTTCCCCCCATTTATTTTATAAAGCACATACATCATGTACATCAATAATAATAAAATAAATAAATAATGAAACAAGTATACAACAAGGAAACAACATAAAACTACCACACACCTAAGAATTAATAACCCGGGTGATTGAAATCCGTCATTAATAAATTAGCTTTTAGCAAAGATTTAAAACTGGATATGGTCTGAGACTCTGAGCAAAGTTTGTGGCCGGCAACTGAAAAAGCACGATCCCCTTTTAGTTTTAATCTGGATCTGGGAACCAGAGAAACTGAACAGATGATCTCAGGGGCCTCACAGAGGAGTGCCAGTTCACTAATGTCTCAAACTTCAGATAATAGCCCTGGCTTTTATTTTCCCAAATCGTCAAACTGCACCAGCTTGTATTTGAGACAGGCGTCTATATGAGACTGGCCTTTGTAGTTTAGTGTTGAGATGTTTTTCATTGAGTTTCTAATGTCTAAAAATCTCCAAATGCTCCACGAGAAACTGCGGGCTCCCAACCTTTTACTATTGTGTCA